GGTTCATAGATGAAAAATGCCTTGTGTGATGTGGTGGTGGGAAGAGATTGCCGTTCGGTTGGGTGTGATAATACTTGTGGGTATTTTTAAAAGAGAAGTGGCCTTTGGCAGGGCGATGAACCAGGATCAGCCACAGGGCCCTCAAGTCCCAAATTGAGGGGCTGGTCAGGGAGATTGGTTTCTGGACGGTAACCAGAAACCCAGAATAGATGCCTGGATCGGGGTTTGGGGGGAGGAGCTGGGATGTTATAACCTGAGTGATCCTGTAGGCAGCTGGACAACACCCTCTCGGCACACGCAGTGTGGTTAGCAGTGGTTAGTACTGCTACCTCACAGCTCCAGGGACCCAGGTTCGATTCCACCCTCGGGCGGCTGTCTGTGTGGTGGAGTTGCACGTTCTCCCCATGTCTGTGTAGATTTCCTCCGGGTGCTCCGGTTTCCTCCCACAGTCCAAAGATGTTTAGTTCAGTTGGATTAGCCATGGGAATTGCGGGGTAGAGGTGTGGGTGTGAGTGTGGGCAGATGCTATTCAGTGTGGACTCGATGGGCCGAATGGCCAGCATCTGCACTGTAGGGATTCAGTGATACTAGTGCACTACCCACGTGATCAATCTAAAATAATCTCATTTCTTTTATAGCTTTTTAATCTCTCCGAAAAGAGACAAGACATTAGCAGACTCAACCCCAAGGTACGTCAGCCTGAATTCTCATTTAGTTTTCAGACATTTGAAGTTTTAAAGTCAATTCAAATTTAGGCCACTGTAGGACTAAGACCGGCTTTCCTATCAGTGGCACCACAGGGCCCTTGGTTTGAAGTGAGAACAGGTTCATTTCTAAAGAAGGGTCCCGACCCGAAATGTTAACATTCCTGCTCCTCTGATGCTGCCTGGCCTGCTATGTTCCTCCAGCTCCACGCTATGAATGTGTTTAGATAGCTCCATGGCTGGGAGAGTCAGTTTCGTGATAATGCAATCCTCCCCATTTTACAGCTGACAGCATGTGTGGCCGTGTACCTGTTTCAAAAGGAGTGGAATGAAGGTTCAATGGGGGATCATCCTTTGACAGTACCTTCTAAACCCATGACCTGTACCACCTAGAAAGACAAGGGCAGCAGATACGTAGGGACACCAGCCGCTGCAAGCTCCACTCCGAGCTACACACCACCTTGACTTGGAACTATATTGCTGTTTCTTCACTATTTCTGCATCAAAATCCTGGAACTCCCTTCCGAACTGTGGGGTGTCTCCACCACTAGACTGTAGCAGTCCAAGATGGCAGCTTATCACCCACCACCTTCTCCAAGGCAACAAATGCTAACCTAGCCAGCTACACTTAAATCCCATGAATGAAGAAAAGACAGAATAAGTCGGGTAAGCCTATTTTCCCTGGAGTTTTGAAGATTATCTCACCGAAACATAACATTTTGTAGGAGGCTTGACAGGGTTGAAACTGAGAGGTTGTTTTCCCCTGGCAGAGGAATCTAGAACGTGGGGGCACAGTCTCAGGATAAAAGTTGGCCATTTAGGACTGACAGGAGGAATAATGTCTTGCCTCAGAAAGTTGTGCATCTTTGGAATTCTCTCTCCCAGAGAGCCCAGCCATTGAGTATATTCAATACTGAGGTCAGTAAGTTTATGGGGTAATAAGTGAACTTAGGGATGGTGCGGGAAAGTGGAGTTGAGGTAGATGAATAGTTGCAGGTTAGTTTGATCTTAGAGTAGGATAATAGGTCGGCACAAACTTGGTGGGCCAAAGGGCCTGTACTGTGCTGTACTGTTCTATGTTCTATGATCAGCCCCAATTTTAGTGAGTGGTGGAACTGGCTTTGGCAGGCCAAATGATGCACTCTAGCTCCTATTTCTTCTGTTCCCACACAAGCACCATGGAATGTGGTATAGTCCAGGAAATGGCTATTATTCTTAGTCTGTGGCCAGTCACTGTTTGCAGTTTGGTGCCACTCGGCGAATTTGCAGCATTTGATTAAATGTTTGTATCATTTGCACCTTATGAACTGCACTCCCTCCCAGACTGGGACTCTGATGTGCTGCTGTACTTTCGATTTCCAGGTTCATGACTTTGGCTGGCCTGATTTTCATGCCCCTCCCTTGGACAAGATCTGTGCCATCTGCAAAGCCATGGAGATGTGGCTGAACTCGGACTCCCATCATGTAGTGGTTCTTCACTGCAAGGTCAGTGCGCAGCGGCTCCTGATGAGACCAAGAAAGGAAAATCGGGGCATGAAACCTTCCACGTCTCCTCAGTGTTACCGCAGATTATTTCCTTCTTGCTGATGGGAAATACCCAGTTGAACCCAGTCCAGTCCTGCAGACGTAGGCCACCATTATACACTACGGTACGCCGTGCCCACTCCACAGGTCACAACTTGGAGTGTTGCCAAATTGAAGACTTATTGCCATCAGGTTCAGAGTCTTTTTTTAAAAATTACTTTGTCTGACTTGATTGGACAGGTCGAAAACCATATTAGTTGAAAAGTCCGAGAACAATTGCTGCAAAAGATGCAACAACAATACATTTTGCCATTGATGTGAAGGGGTGTTGGGTGCACTGGTTGTGCCCCTCAAGGACGTAGAACCTAAACACTGAAAACTCACTTCAGGACTTCCTCTCTCACAATTGGGAGTATAACTTAGCTTCCATGTGAAACCACATCTCAGAAGTGCCCAGGTTATACAATTTTAAAATGCTGGATTTTTTTCTCTCCCCTCAATTTAAGGACAAATAGACACCTCAGTCTCCCAGTTAACATTGATGCAAACCATGCCCTACTTGGTAGCTGTAGTGATTCGATCAGTTTATTGCTTGAGTTAACTGAGTTCCAATGTCCAGGATCCACTATTAAGGTCCAATTTGTGAGTAGCAATTTATTGTCCCCGGTCCCCCACTTGGCCTCCGTTATTTGGCCACGTTGGCATGAGCAGTGAGACACGGGAGGATTATTCAGTTGCATAGTATTTCACAGTTGAGCCTGATCTTGCCCACACGAACCCCTCCTGTCTGGCTAAAGTCAAGTCTGGTTTTCCTCAACCTTAGAGGTTAACTGAGGATTAAACCATTGTGACTTTGGAGGGCTGGGCAATGTGGTAACAAGCCATACTACACCAGGCTGTCACACTGAGCAAAGCTTTGTTCTCCAGAGTGGGTGCTGATTTAAACAGAATTGAAGAGTGGAGTAGCATGCCATCCCAGCCCCATTCGGCACGGTCCAACCACAGCATGGCCAAGTGCCTACAGAATTATAGAATGGTTCCAGCATGAAGGGGGCCATTCAGCCCATCATATCTGTACTGGATGTCTGCAAGAACAACTCATCCAGTCCCACTTGCTCACTGTTTCCCCGCGACCATGCATTTTATTTTCTCTTCGGATGATTATCCATTTCTCTTTTGTAGGCTTTGATTGAATCTGCCACTCTCGGGAGGTGCACTCCACATCCTAATCACTCACTGCGTAAAAACTGTTTTCTTCAAGTTGCCTTTGGTTTTCTTTTTGCCAATCACCTCCATGTCTCAACCCTTCCACTAATGGGAACAGTTAATCCCCGTCAGACTCCTCGTGGTTTTGAACAGCTCTAAATGGTATTTTGTTGATTACAAGAACCATCTTTACACTTGTATCTCAACAGGGCAACAAAGGTCGAACAGGAGTGATCATTGCAGCATACATGCATTACAGCAAGATCTCTGCAGGGTGAGCATTTGATTCGAGTAGGGAAAGACGGGATCTGTAACTACTCTGTGAGATGATGGAGCCAGGAGCTGCCAAAGGCAGCTGTCAAACAGGACAGCAGGGTAAAATTTGAAAGGGCCCAATCTGCCACTGGTCTGATGAAAAGCATGTGCAAATGGACCTTATTCAGAATTCCAATCGATAGTGATCCCCCACGAATGCTTCATACCTTCATATTACAGGCCACTAATTGTAGGCAGGTGGAGACTCAGTGAAAATGAACCCCCGTCTTGTACTTTGCTGCATAGTCTAGCATGAGAAAGTGCAGGATGACTCACTTCAAATGTTTCCATTTGTCGACACCAATGGGCTCAAGGTAACATAATATAAAGCATTTATTTGGAATCGCGTCACATTCTTAGGACATTACAACCAATCAGATCCTATTAGAAGGCTGTCACTGTGGTTATGTAGGCCAATGTCATTTGCACACAATACAAACTCAGAAATAGCAGATTTCTGACAGCCATGGGGCTCCCTAAATCACATGGATTTGCTTTAATGGTGGACATGGCCTAATGGGCTGCTGTGTTGCTGCTGTGAGAAAGCCTGTAAACAGGTAGATTTTTGTTTGGAGAAACTCTGCCTTTTCATGGCCATCTTGCCCCAGTTATTCTGAAAAACTGAAGCATTCCCCTCTCCCATACAGCTCTCAACGCCACCCCCCCCACAAATTTTCATTTGGCTCACACACAGTGTGAAGCATTAAAATGGGGTTAGACCAGGAAAAGGGTTGGAAAACACTGGTGCAACAAACCTTCCCTCAACTGGTTCCTGGGATGAATTAGGCCACTTTTCCCTGAAATTTAGAAGAATGAGAAGTGATTTCATTCAACATCTAAAATTGTTAAAGGGGCTTAGAATGTTAAGAAAACATTTCCCCTGGCTGGAGAACACAGGGTCACAGTTTCAGGATAATTTATTACTGAGATGAGGAGAAATTTTTTCACTCAAATAGGTTTCTGAATATTTGTAATTCTTACCCCAGAGGATTACGGAGTTTCTGTCATTGAGTATGTTGGATACTCAGGGAGTTAAAGGATCTGGGGACAAGGCAGGAAGGTGGAGCTAAGAAGATCAATCATTGTCTAATATGTTGGAAGAAGAGGATGTGTGGCTCTGCTTCTTATGCTCTTGTGTGAATGATTGATTCATCTTTTGTTTTTGATGATGTTTCTTGAGCTTCAACCATTAAGCAGAGAAATTGTTCTTTTACGAATACCCCATCTTTCATTGCATCTAAACAGGCAACTGGGTCTCCGCCTAATGCCTCATCCCAATGATAGCACCTCTCTGGCTGTATGGCACTCCTTTAGCACTGAGCTGGAGTGGAACTCGGGATTATGTGCTCACGTCTCTGGAGTGGGTTTCAAACCCTGTGACCTTCTGCAAGGTTTATGAATGAATAGCTTTTCTTTTTGTTTTTCTAATGCAGGGCTGACCAGGCTCTCAGCACACTTGCTATGAGGAAATTCTGTGAGGACAAAGTGGCTCCTGCAATACAGCCTTCGCAGACCAGGTGAGAGAGGGTTCATCTGACACGGAGACATAGCTGGGCCCAACCAGTGGTGACACCTCAGGAAAAACCAGTTTAAAAAATGGTAATACTTGGAAATGAACCTACTTGACATACTTCAGCTCCATTTTGAAGTATACAAGACAAGTCAGAGCAGTGTGTGGCACTCACAAATTTTACTGTTTCTTTTTCTGATAGGACCCCAAGATATATCCCGAGATATTATATCTGATTGGATCCTCCAAAAAGTGGTTGGATTGCTCACAATGTGTCAGATTTACACTGCAGGCTGGGATTCAGAACAGTGCTGGCAACTGAGAGTTCAGTAACAGACGTGGGTCCGTTTAGCTGATCTCAGTTAGCACGGCGATAAGGATATTGAAATTAGGCCTCATCAAAATGGAGGTGGGAGGGGCTGCCCCCTTTTGTGATAGGAAGTGACGCAGACACATACCCTTTCTCACTCTCGCACACAAACTCACGCGCACACAAGCATGCGCACACACATGCACAAACACATGCAGACATGCATACGCACATGCACGCACACATGCACACACACGCAGATATGCACGCATGCACACACATACATGCAGATACACACATGCACACACACGCACGCAGATATGCACACACACACGCAGATACGCACACATGCACACACACACGCAGATACGCGCGCACACACACACACACTCTTTCTCTCTCTCTCTCTCCCTCTTTCGCTCACTCACTCTCTCACACAGGCTGCTGGTGTGAGTCACCATTTTAAGGTGTCCAGGGAGGAGGGGCGTACAGTGGGAACAGCATGTCTCCTGGAGAACTGCCTCCAGAGACGCTCTGGAATGTACTGATCTTGAGAAATGAACTGATGTCAAATAACATGTGATGGAGTTAAGCCAGAGAGCAGCAATGTTACTGCTGGAGCAGAGACAAGAACTAATCAACACAAATAGCATAGGATCCTGTGGGGGCCTTCTCAAAATGACTGGGACAGACCAGTAGATCGAGCAAAGAGCTTTCCAAGTCCAGCGGCAATGGCAGTGGCAAAGTCAACAAATGGAGCCACCCGATTTGGAGCTGCACCTGACAGGAACAAACCACAACAATTTACAGTTACATAGTACCTTTCATGTAATTAAATATTTGAATGTGCTTCAGAGGAGCATTACAAACCAAACAATGACACTGAGCCACGTAAGGAGGTATTGGGTCAGATGCCACTTGGTCAAAGAGGTCGGTTTTAAGAAGTATCTTAAAAGAGGAAGGTGAGGTGGAGAGGTTTAGGGAGGGAATTCCAGAGCTTGCAGCCCAGGCAGCTGGAGGCAAATGGTGGGACAATTAAAATCTGGGATGCTGAAAAGGCCCATATTAGAGGAGTGCAGATTCCCCGAAGGGTTTTGGGGCTGAAGGAGATGATAGAG